TGTACACAGCTGTCTTCACAGAAGCCGATGTAGGAAGTTACAGCCTCTGTGAACTCATCCAGACTGTCAGTAGCAGTCTGAAACCATCCCAGTCTGTGCAGTCAAAGCACGCCCGAAGATCCTCCAGCGCCTCACTGGTCCACTTCTTGAATTCCCTCACCACAGGTTTGCAGAGCTTTAGTTTCTGCCTGTATGCAGGAATCAGATGGACCATGACGTGGTCAGAGTGTCCCAGTGCAGCACGAGGGACGGCGTGATAAGCCCTGCTGACTGTGGTGTGCTGTTATAGGTTGTTGTGTGTAGAATGTTGAGGAAAATAGTTAATTTAATCTATTTTGGAATAAGGCTGTAACATAACAAAATGTGGAAAAAGTGAAGCGCTGTAAATACTTTCCGGATGCACTGTATGCAGCAGAAAGGCTTTTTCTCTTTTACTCGTAGCAAATTGAATGAGGCTGAACTTGTGTTGTGTTGCAGTCATAAATTGTATAGAACTGACTTGAGTTGCACTTACAGATGCTGGAATCTATTTAAATCTGCCTTGTAAGATATGAAGGAAATCATGCATAACACATGTGGAGCTAATACATAAGCTTTCATTATCTACCGGTAATAGATAATACTAATGAATTAATGAAACAATGGATATGGGGCGGCACGGTGGCGTGGTGGTTAGCACTGTCGCCTCACAGCAAGAAGGTCCTGGGTTCGATTCCGCCCAGTGACCTTTCTGTGTGCTCCCTGTGTCTGCGTGGGTTCTCTCCGGGTTCTCCGGCTTCCTCCCACAGTCCAAAGACATGGGGATCAGGTTAATTGTGTGAATGTGAGTGTGAATGGTTGTGTGTCTCTGTGTAGCCCTGCGATTGGCTGGCGACCAATCCAGGATGTACCCTGTCTATCGCCCGAAGACTCCAGCCCACCCGCGACCCTGTGTGCAGGATAAGCGGTTTGACAATGGATGGATGGATGGATGGATATGGGGCGCCGTTTGTAAAATGTCGCACGTCGCACATTCTAAAATCAGTCGTCTTAAATGTCTTAAATGTTAAATGTAGAGCTAAATGTAGACTCTACATTTAACATTTAAATATAACATTTAACATTTATATTTGACATTTACATTTAGATATACCATTTAACATTTACATTTATATTATTCCAACAACTTGGAAAAGTTATTGCATGAATGTACATGAATTTCTCTCTAAATGTTTTAAAAGTGACATGTGAATATTGTCGTGCTTTTTTGTTCATATGATAATGCTAAATGTGGCAAAACTGCGCAGGATTTTAGAACGTTTTACAAACGGCGCCTACCTGATCAACACTATCATTTGAAGTATGTTATACATCCATTGGTGGAACATTCATCTTTTTCTTGTTGATCCAGTGTAAACATCTAAATTCTAAGTGAGATGTCAACTCTGCTACAGCAAACCTTTTAATGTACAAGTTAACTGTCAATAGTAGCCAGCTGTTTATTTTCTTTCACACTTCTAGAATATTTGGACGGATTATGAGACAATGAATCAGGCATGCCTTTTCCTCTCTAATGTGAGAAGGACTCAGACTGTTTAGTCTGTCTCTTTGTGGTAATTTAGGTCCTCTTTCTAGTAATTTTGCGTGTCTAGTGGTTGTGCTTTGTGTCCCGTTGTGGTCATTTTGAGTACCTGGTTGTTACAGAGCTGGGGCCACAGGGGTCTAGACTCAAAAGCAGACTCAAGGCGGGGTAGTCGAGGCAAAAATGGTCTGTGCTTCAGGCAAGGGTTCGGTACACGGGTAGTCAGACAGAGAAGGCGGATCAATCCAAATTCGGCAGGCAAAGGTTGGCGGGGGGACAGAAATGGGTCTAAACACGGGAAGGCACACTCACGAGAATCGCTGGTAAGCTCATTGGAAGAAAGCGACAAACTGGCACAGAATCAGCTGTTGGCACAGACTAAATACACAGGAGAACGAGACACAGGTGGAAACAATAAGGGTGGGGCTTGCAATCACAGAAGGCAGTGGCACACAGGGAGGAGGTGTCTGGGTGTTACAATGCTTTGCATCTCTTTGCTTGTAGGAGTCCAGTTGGCCCCTTGAGTAATTGATCAACTGGGCTGGAAAAAGGATGAAGTCCAGTCGTCTTTGACTTAAAACTTGGGTGATTAGAGACATGGTGATTGTCTTTTGGGATAATCTGATGAAAACTAGTTACAATATGAGTCAGATATGTGATCATTCATTGTCTTGTGTGCGGTCCAACAGCAGAGCAAAGGCTCAGCTCCTCATTCCCTTCGCCCTGCCGGAGGTGAAAAGTAAAAAAAAATCCACTGGCTCGAGTTTAAAATTCGAAACGAATTTTAATAATAAACAGAAGCGGTATGAATAGCATAATATTTTGCAAAATACACAGTCGATTCCGACCTCTAATCATGTATCTCCACAGATTCTGTCTCTCCCCAGTACAGTCTATTTGAATCTCACGGGTGTGTCAATCATTTTGCAGCCGTATGTGATTTGCTGCACGTTCAAACGTAGCTCCTCCCTCCTTTCTGCTTCCAGCCATTTATCTCCCTGATCTCTATCTGATGGCCGAATCTGTACTCCCTCCCTGACCCAACCGATGGCCATTCACATAATATTACAAGACATTCAATGATCAGACCTTTCGCCTTAAGCTTCTTTATGTAAACAAAGCATGCATAA